TCGAGCAAACCCCCAACATCATCACCTCGAGCCCCTTAACACCACTAACGAACTCGAAAGAATAATGTGCACTCCGGTACCAGAACCCGAGAGCCGGGGAGCAGGAGATACTCCGATGCCCATCTCGGCTACGTGTTTGTAGTATTTTTGGTGATGGATAAGTTGGTAACCGAGTTATCCGGACTCGAGTCGTTCTCAAAGGAAGACTGTTCGGAGCTTCGTTTACTATCTAGTCGTCAATTTCACAAGACCGAAAATAGAATCCTAAACATTCTATCGCAAAGATTTGGGGTTCTGAATTATGCGAATAAAATTTAAAGCAATTAAACAAGAACATCAACTTATTCGTAAAATCAATACTTATGAACTCGTGATCTTCAACACTCGGTAATTTAACAACAACAACGGGAAACATGCGAGTAAAATGATCCTAGGTAACCAAATCAAACCCTTTCTACTAAATCCCTACTCTTTTAATAAAGCCGCAAGTTTTAAACAAGATACAGGTGACATTGGTCCCTAACACACGTAAAGAAGCAATTAACGAAAAGAATCGAGCATTCCTCCATTCGATAAGCAATATCAATACGAAATAATGAGGATTAAAGATAATTACTCACGTTTCTATGAATGCTTAGACGAACGCCGGAGTGAAAATCTCGAAACCTTAGAAAACCCAGAGTTGCCGGAAACTACCGAAGAACTTGTTTATAAACACATAATCTAAGAACAATGTTGAATTCACTCACAAGATTAATATTACAAAATAGTTGAATACATGAAAGAAAAATACAATAAAGTGTGTGTTCATCCCCAAGAGGGGAGATGTCTTCTTCTCATCACTTCACTCACTATTTATAGCCAAAACATTCCTTAATTCCATGAACAAGTTCCTCAATTTGCTCCTCAATCCATGCCTTAGTGCCTTAATTTGCTCCACTCATCCTTGAAACATGCAAGAGTGCACATAGTAGGATGAAAAGTGGCCAAGAATCAAGGACAAATATCAAGTGGAGGGGCCAAGGTAACGGCTCGCACGCGCGACGGGCAGTTTGCGCAACTTCGCTTCTCGGACTTGTTTTGGACTCGTCCGAACTCGGAATTGAGTTCCGTTTTTTCCTACGCGTCGCTAACGAACTCTTTTATACAATCATATTTTTCGGGTCATTTTTCGGGCTAAATCCATTCCTCACGGGGCTTCCGATCTGTACGCTGAAAACAAGAAGAAAAACATAGAAACCCGACAAAATATACGAAAAACACATAAAAAACCAAAATAGAGCACAACACACAATAAACTACAAAACGAACTAAAAATCAACTAAAAGAACTAAA